AGACAGCGAGGCTGCCTGGTTTCATTCTTTTCAGACTGAGCCAGGGTGAGAGTTCCAGAAAAATCTCCAAAGACATAAAACAGAAAATACAGAGCCACAATTTCCTCTCAGCTGCTGTGTTCATGTGGGGCCCAGCAGACAAAGGAACTTTTGTTCCTTTACCTAACAGCACTCCCTCTAGGCCTGTTTGTAATCACTGGGGCAGTTAGAATCTTGGCTACAAGTTCAGGACATCTTCCTTCTGCCTCCTCTCCTGTTGCCTTCTTTTTTCATGGTGGTGTCATTAAATTCAGGAAACACTTACTCTTGACTCTCACCGAGGAAATTACAAGAAAGTTTCAAAGCTTTTCTCCTCCCTGTCACCTGAAAGTGGTGGATTTGGCATTTAGGAAGAAAATATGACAAGCATATTTGTGAAGAATCAATTCTATGAGGATATGGTTTAGCACAAAATAGTGTGCAAAGTCCTAAAATAATAGCAGTTCTGTACTTTATTACAACCAAATAGGTGTGCATCGTAGGCATAGATTAAAATAAAAATTATAAAAATGAGCTTGCCTCTAAAAGGGCTGGTAGTGTTGAATTTTGTTAGGTCACTGTAAATAAACATGGAACTAACTATGAGAAATAATAATAAAGTCACATCTAAAAATTAATCTTTTGATCTTTACTAAGTGCACAGTAGTGGAGGACTCTTTACAGAGATAAAATTACACTGGATTCTTATAAATATATACCAATCTTTTAGCAACAGAATCCATAATAGCTAAATCTTCAAAACTGCCTATATATTCATTGATAGATGAACTTGTAAAGAAAATGTGTTATTTATGCACAATGGAGTACTACTCTGCCATAAAGAAAGATAATCTTGGATTATTTGTAGGAAAAAGGATTCTCCTTGAGGGCATAATGTTAAGTAAATAAATCAGACAAACAAGCTTAAATACCACATGGTTTCTCTTATATATGAAGGCCAAACAATAAATAAAGAGAAAATTCAATATAATAGGAAGTAGGGAGACAGATCTTCTCTGAGAGAAAAGGGATGAAGAAATGGAAGGAGGGGAAATGAAAAGATATGAAGAAAGGAATTAAGATATACTATGTATAGGTACTGAGTTCCCACAATAATGTAAACATTATGTACTACAAATATGTACTAATAAAGAAAATGATCTGAAAAAATAAATACATATCTATTCATCTACACACACATATGCACATGCACACACACAGGAAGATGCACTTGTAAGTACAGATCAGAGCCTTATTTTCCTCTCAGCTATGCTAATTCCAGAGATTAGAAGAAAACTGAGCATTTGTGGATAGGGAATCATTGTAATTTAGCTTTAGAATAAAACTGATTGATCTTGAACATTGTTCTGACGCTCATCAGGTGAGTGACCTTGAAATAAGATTGAAATCCCTCTGTGACTCACTTTTCTTGTATAAAAATGAGAGCAGAAATAATGGAATTTTGAGCATTAAACTGTCAGTATATGGTAAAGCTTTAGAATAGGAGGTAGCAAATTCTTTGCTCTAAAGTGCCAGCTACTAAGTATTTTAGGCTTTATCATCTCTGTTGTAACTTCATCTTTTTTTTGTTTTTTGTTATTTATTTTTGATTTCCTTAAAACCTTTTAAAATGCAAAAATCATTGTTGACTCACTGAGGCATGTGAAAAACAGGCCACTGGTTAAGAAGTGTCTTATACTTATTTGGGACTAAATACTTGCTATGTATTATAGCTATTATTGTTATGATTATTGAATCTAAGTCCCTAATCAAGTGATTAGATGTAATAAAGATAAATGTTTGCTATTGACATAAATATATAAGATAAATATAAATGCAAATATATACTTTTTTTTACTGAGTTCATGGAATATGGAACTATGGATAGACTCCTTTTATTTGGCCTTTTTTGCTCATGAATGAGCATTTCAAATTTTAAGAAGTCCCTCACAATTTACTTAGTTGTTTTTTGTTTGGTTGGTTGGTTTAGTTTGATTTGGATTTTTGAGACATACACTTGCTATGTAGTTTAGGTTGCTCTTGACTTACTAAGTAGGACAGGCTAGCCTTGTACTCATGGCAATCCTCCTGCCTCAGCCTCCCAGCTGCTGGGATTATAAGCATGTGCAGCCATGTCCAGTTACTTAGTTGTTATGGAAATATTTGGAATTAATATGCACATTTCTTTACAAAGACAGGCTCTGTAGCTTGTTAACCATGATTCTTCCTAATGTGGCAGCTGTTGGGTGCATTATATCCAAGTAAATGCATACATAACTTTATACATAGGCTTGTAGTTCAATGTCATTGGACTATCATTCTGGTAGGCTTTAGAGTTTCAAGAAATGGAACCTATCTGTTTCATGGAAATGAAAATATTGGGGAATTTCAACTGAAAATAATGACTAAGTTACACTACAATCATGTTTTAAATCCAGAGTAAATGATGGCAAGGTCAGAATCCTTTCTGGAGGCACTCACCATCTTACAAAGGTCAGAGTCAAATGAAATGCAGTACTGCATATATTACTGTCTACTTATTTTAGCACCATTAAACTAGCCTTAAGTGTCCTAAGAAAAAATAATCATTTTAGGACAATATTTCTTCACATGTTGATTTCTATAACATTTTCTCTATGTACATCCACCTGCAGGTTATCCCTAGATAGACACACATGAACCCACATCCCAGTACACTCATACACCTTATTGGTCTCTTACTGCAATACACTTTGATGCACTCACTCCCTATATATACTCACTCACACTTTCGACATATACTTACCACCCCATCCATACTCTCCTACATATTTATACACACACTCACTCTCTCTACACAAATGTATACATGAATACACTCACACACCCTATACCAGTGATGGCGAACTTTTTAGAGCTTTCAATAATACAAACAGCCAGCCGTGGCATGTGTGCCATAGGTTCACCACCACTGCCCTATACCAACACTTTCCTATATATGCTTAATCACACTCCCTACTCTCAATCAGTGTACACTCACCACCTTATCTACACTTCTATATGTATTTATACACACATTCACATATCCTACATATGCACACACACTCTAGTACACTCATATCTGCTACACACACATGTAATTATATACACTCATACTCATTACCTACACTCAGATACATATACATAATCCAAAAAGCAAATTAAACCTCTGATCAAACTTTGTTCTCAAAGTTACTATTGCATGGAAATACAAAAAAATGGAGGCTGTTTTATTTGGCTGTTTTAGTAGCAAGGACAACTTCTATTAAAGAGATGTTTTATTCATAGGATAAATTTATTCTGGAATACATACCTAAACACCCTAAGGTTTTTCTATATGGCAGTAATTAAGCAGTGAATTCAAATTGGAAAACAGACTTTGTTTTCTTAGCAATAAAAACTTCATTTGGAATGAACATTATATTAGCTACAGGAAAAATGCAGATTGCTGGAACCACAGTCACATTAGATGGCCTAACTTGCTCCTAGCAGGCAAGTAGGTAAAAGTGCAAAAATGGCATTAGCCTAATTTATAGATATATTTATCAATTTGAGTTTATAATATTTAATACAAGAAGTATATAGGCTATACCTGTTTCATTATTCTTGCAGTTTTTTACAGTATTACTAAAAGAGTTCAGTATCATTAGTAAAATATGCAAAAATATGCAGAATTTTACCCTAAAGGAGATTGTGCCAGAAATCCAGGCAAAGAGGCTTAAAATAATAGGGCACTAATAATTCTGGTCTCTGTATTCAAATATTTTAACTTTTGCTCTGTCACCTTCATTTGGATACGGGCTTCAAATCACAGCAGTATATCTGCAGTTTTTAAATCTTAATTAATTAGCCTGGTAAACAGACCAGCCCCCAGGCAAAAAGAAAAATGAATACATCACATATTGTGCAACTTATGAAGGGATGCAGAAGAAATTCACGGGTACTAACACTTCTTCACTACTCTCATAAACTAGTTTCCATGAGTGTTTGCAGAGCAACATGTTGTGCAAAACTCTGTGGAGGCTGGGAAGATCTTGGAGCAAAAATGAATTGAGACTTGGATAAAATACCTTCCAAGATGAAAGATGTCATAGACGTAAATACAGATGGCATGGTTGTCTGAGAAGATTTAATGAAATGCAAGGAACAGACATCAGTCGATTGTAGGTATGCCTTCATAGTCATGTAATGGCCATTCTTGTGTGTCAAAAATGGATAACTGGGTGCATAGAAATATTGAATTTTTACATTCCTCCATATTCATTGTGTAAACATTCGGATTTAAAATTTAATTTAAATCCTTGGAAATAGGGCATGTATCAGCCCTATCATCATAATAGGTCAGTACCAACTGAAGTCTTTCGCCTGGTGAACAAGGCAAGAGGAAGCCAAAGAAGTGAACATTCAAAATGATTATACTTCTTGGGAGAGAACCAATTACTGGATTCACCAATATGAAATTAGTAAACATACTCTTTATCACACTATACATTTTTCACTCTAAAAATACTTTGTGTAACCTAAGAGAAGCTTATTCTGAAGACTTGCTTATTTTCATCAGTGAATGATTTTACAGAGTGAAATATCAAGAAGTGCTTGAAGATTGCATTCACCATGTGTGTTGCTCCTGATATACAAAATATATCATTTCTAAAAGGCAAGGTTTTTTTATGTTATATACTTGATTCCCTAGCAGAGTGAACTTTTCATGAAAGCCCTGGATATAATTGAGTTTTCTTTCGTGTCTTCAAACCTTTTTAAAATTCATGAATTTTCTTATCATTTTTGCAGCAAAGCAAAAGTATTTCTAAATCCTTTTTGAATTTTGTGCTTAACATTAACATATTTAAAATGTTACAGAAATAGATGAAGGCAAATAAATCTTACATAAGAAAGTACCTGATTTTTGGTGCATTTTCATGTTGGAAATAGGTTAGTTATTGCTATTAAATCAGTTCCATTACCTGTCACAGAGCTGTCTAGATTGTCCATACTGGATCCTGGTGTCTGGTCTAGTGCTCTCAGAGGCCTGGGGATTTCTAATGCTTCCTCTTCATCATCAGCATCATCATCTGGAACATCTGTTTCCAAATCAGAAATCAAGGCTCCAGACACATAACCTAATGGTGGAACAGGGGGCTGTGGAGGTTGATTATTGCTTTGAATGTGCCTAAAATTCAAAAGAAAGAAAGAAAGAAAGAAAGAAGAAAGAAAGAAAGAAAGAAAGAAAGAAAGAAAGAAAGAGAAATTGCATTAACATTTAACCCAATTGTAATTAGGGATGATTTAGTATCTGATACTGTCTTTGTTACCATTAACTAATTTTGGAGAGCACAATGTTTCCTTGCATTCAGAAGAGACAATGAGCTATGGATACATGCCCTGCTAAACAACAACACAGGCTAATAAATTCCTCTACTTATATTGATAGGATGATACACAGAGAAAAAATAAAGATGTAGTATTTTTGTATAAATATGTCACCTAAAGAATAGAAATGTTTGTCACAAGTTGACTCCTCAAAAAGGAATGTAATTATTTTTCAGTTTGGTGACGAAGTTATACTTAACCTATATTACTTATGAGCTTTCTGGCCCCAGTGATGAAAAGATGTAACGTAGAGTCTGGTACCTCCTGGGGTCCCCTTTGAGCATACTTCCCACCCCAGAAGGATTCTTTTTGCATGACATCTCCCAGATCAGGATGGCTGTTTCTCTTCACTTGCCCAGTTTAGGTCAGGCACAGCTTCTTTGTGCTCTGTCTTTCTATTTTGAATCTAGCTCACCCACTGGAGTATTTAATTCTTCTAAGGCAGAAAAGATTCATCTTACCTTTCTCTGTTTTCTGAATAATGGGTTTGTTAAATAAATCCTTTAAAATGAGTAAATAATGCAATCTCAACTCTTTGAAGGAAGTTGATATGTGTTATCAGCCCTCTTTTAAAAGGTCTTAGAGTGACAAAAATGTGACATATTTTAAATCACTGGTTAATAAAATGTGTAGCTGGATCCTGGGATTCAGTTGATTTGATTTGAGACTACACAAGAAATTCTTGAAACCTATACAATGCTCAACAAAAGTAATTCATTGTTATTGGCAACTGCCTTTAAAGAGTGAACATACTATGTGTTTTGACCAAGTGAGCCTTATCACCTTTATATGAGTATTTTAAAGATTTTTCTAATTGAAGGGAGTTTAAAAAGTAAGTATAAGGCATTTTACTGTTGTTTAAAAATGAAAGATAAAGAATTATGTCTCTTTTCATTTGCATTTTTTGGTAAATATTACAGTCTTCTAGAATTTACATAATATTTATTTCCCTATTGCACTCTTGAATATGCAACCTAGTCTAATGTTAAAAGGTTTCTAGATCTCCTCATATTGAACAACTCAAAAATGTTAGTTTTGGAGGCTACAACAATATGATGAGACCCAAATCTCCAATAAAACAGAAGATGAATTGGAAGTCCCAAGTTATCTGTGGCATACATCACAATTCATTAATTAAAAAGTCAGAGAGAAAGAGCAAGCTTCCTCAAAACCATGAAACAAAACTTTGAAAATCGATTAGCATGTTCGCCAGTAAGTGTTGCCTCAAATTCTGTTTGTGAATCAGGGGTGGAGAGATCCAAATGGTGATCAACAGGATATAAGGCGATATTTATATATGCAAATCATTTGTCTTTGTCAGTACGGACTTTGGTTTTGAGCCGGATGGAACACGCCAACATCCTAGACTTACATCACTATTGGCACTGTTTAAAAAATCAAGGGGATAAAAATATGTGCTCCTTAAGTTAGACAGAATTGGGAGATAAAGTGAAATACAGGATCAGGGAATATAACATTTGTAAATATCTTCTGGCAGCAGACACTGTACTGTGTATTTCATCATCCAGTACAAACAGAATACCTGGAGTTGGAGACTGGGAATTTATTAAAATCATCACCTTGTGATGTTGATACGCAACCCTGATGAAGAAGCCCTTCTAAACCAGAAGGGAAAGGTATGATCTCACAGAGGCTCACTACTCCCACATGTGGAGCCCCCTAAGGCATTAAGGAAGGGTGCTGGATTAAGTAGGTGTATACTTAGAAGAAAGAAATAGGGCCTAGTACTTAGAACAGGTAGAAATAAACTAGTTTGTGCATCCATTTAGTAAATACTTATTGTGCACTTTCTATGTGGAAAAATCTTCTCTAAGTGTGCAAAGAGAACATTGAACAACGCAGGTGAAAACCCAAACCCTTCTGAATAACAGGCAAAATATGCATAGTAATTTTCTAAGTACTGTACAAATGACTCAGCTAACTCTCACAAAAACTATGGTACATAACTAAAAATTTAACCTTGACCCAAGAGATATTATGCCTCTTGCATCCATTCCTAAGACGCAATGCCTAAGCTGTTAGGATTTTCTGCCTGGTCAAGGGGTCTCTATTTACCTGGACATCTTAGGCTATTTTAGGTCTCACAATACAATCCATGGGGAAGACTGGAGAACTTGAGCCATAGCATTAAGCTAGACCTCTGGCTGGATTGGATATTGAGGTCATTTATGTGACAGACCCAAATAAAGTCTCTAGGCCCAAGGGCTCATGTTCATTTCCCTGGTTAGCAATATTGCCTATATATTGTCACATTCTTTACTGAGAAAGCAATGCTCTCTGGGACTCTACTGAAAGAAGACTACTGAAAATTCTGCTTTTGAAATTTTCCTGGACTCTGCACTGAAACCTTGTCTGTTGCTTGATTTTAATCTGTATCTTCTTACCATGATAGACAGCAAGTCTGCATATAATAGCTTCCAGTGAGTCCTATAAATTCTTCTAATGAACCCTTCAACCTCAGGGTGTTCTTGGGGATCCCTGAAACTTGTACTTGGTAGGACACATGGGAGTGGTCATAGGAACTACCTTTCAATTTCATAAATGAGCCATCACTATTATCTTCATCACTTTACCCATGGGACAACTATAGCATAAAAATGCTAAGCAAGTTGCTGAAGGCCATACAGCTAGTAAGACAGGCTGCCCTTCATGTCATTGACCCCAACCTTAGCTGTTCTCAGTCAAATCCTGAACTAAGCAATCAGGATTGATCTGAAGGTGGAACCTAACTATCAGTATACTTTATGATTAGCTAGATAAGTCCCAAAAGTAGACAAAATTGAGAACCCACGAGCTAAAGTTTATGCTACAGATGGCTAAACTATATGTTTTCATTACTTAACTTGAAGGATGTTCTATCATTCTTTAAGCAGTTAGCTTTAACTTAAATAGTGATATTTTATACAATAATACATTTTTTGCTTTTTTTTTTGTTTTGACACAGATTCTCACTATGCAGTTCAGATTGGCCCTGAACTCACTATGTAGCCCAGGCTGGTCTTCCACTCATAGCGATCCTCCTGCCTCAGCTTACTGAGTGTTAGGATTACAGGTGTGTGCCAACATGCCTGGCTAATAAAACTATTTAATTGTAGGATATCATTAATTTTTGAGAAAATGATAACTAGGAAAATATTTAAATGCCTTTTATTGTAAGAAAATGACATGTTTATGACTGCTTTAAGAGATATTCTTGTACTTGGTATTTCTTTATAGGTATAGTTAGCTATACTTTCAAAATACTTCATTAACACACAGGATAAGAACTATCTCATTATTAACTTTTTCAGTACCCAGAACTATCAGAAAAGCAAATAGTACTTTAAAATTTTACTCCAATTTTAAGCCCAGGATATAAATCAACAGAGAATAAGTTGAAGTATGTCACAGAGATTTATTTTCAAGTATCCAAGCTTATATATCACTATTTGAGAGAAAAATATAAGAAAAAACAACTCTATAAAATTGTAAAAGTTGGTCGTGCTTATATTTCTGCCATATTCACATAAAACATCTTAGTAAATTTTCTCTGTAGTTTATGAAACTTTGTAGATGGATCAGAAAAATGTACTTGGGGTTTTTAATTTGGTCTTGGAGAGTTATTTTTGAATGCACTTACTGTTTGTTTGGTTTTGGTTTTTTTTTTTTGGTAAGGGGGAATCAAACTCAGAACCTTCCACTTGTGAGACAGGTGGTGGCAACACTGAGCTAAATCCCCGGTCCTGGATTCACTTACTGTTACTAATATTATTTTTCTGATTTGTTTTTCTTCAGTCCCAATAGAGTCTTTTAATAGCTGACATTGACCATAAGTGATCTGCAGAACATTATATTTACATATTCACAACCACATACAGAATTATCCACAGGCACTTTGAAGAATTTAAAAGGAGTCTTTTATTATGGCATTAAAAGTGAGTTCAAGGATAAGCTAATTGGAGCTAAATCGTAAATTAGAAAAGACTCCAGTATAGCCAAAAGCATGTTAACCTGAAATTCAGCAGATCTGAATCCTGGCCCCAGTTCACTCCCTAACTAGTTAAGTGACTCTGGATGAATTATTTAACATTTCTGCAGTCAGTTTCATTACCTAAATGATTAAGGAGCATACAAAAATTTAAAAACCCATCTGCACAGTTTTATGAGAATCTCTTGTGAGTCTGTGTGAAGGAAATTTCCTAGTGTTGAAATCATCCCCTTCTGAGGATAGTTACCATGTTTGTTTTGCTATATCAAACTGATAGGCCCTGGTCAGCTCGTCCAGGTGAGCCTGCAGCATGGGCTGCATCTCTTCCCGCGGGGAAGGAGTGAGAGTGGCAGTAGATTGCTGTCCAAAGGAGATTGCAGGAGAAGAAGCCACGCCTCGGACAGGAGGTGTTGGGACCCGATCTTCGTCTTCCTCCAGTTCATCTTCTACGCCCTGGTGTAAATATGTTTGCACAGGTAATGGTGGGCACCAGCTATCACTGTCATAGCTGAAATAAGATGAGGAAAGAATGCACATCAAAACATGTAAGAATGCACACAATTATATGGCTACAAGTAACAACCATATTGTGTCTAAATTCTTCTCTCAGTTTATTTCCTCTTGTTGGTTCTACCACAGTAAATCACCTGGCAATTATCTTAACTTCCAATTGTAATTACATCTGTTATCTCAATATCTCAGTTTATATTTTAAAGACCTTATTAGCTAATTGTTATCCCACAGTTATACAAGGCAATAACTTCCCAGCAAAGTTACTCGTGTGGAAAAACCAAATTGCTAATTAAAGACAATTAATGAATTTAGGGCTTGTGGATTTAACTACTTTCTTCTCTTGTTCATCCTTGCACACCAAGAGAACATGCCAAGAGAGCTGATTGATCATCTATTCAGTGTTTAAAGTTTTATTTTCTCTTATTATAGATCTATACCAACCTTTTATTCTATATGACATACCGATCATTATAAATAGTATTATTGGATATAACAGTCTTATAAATTCAGCCGCTTAAATTTCTTCTGTCTCCAATATTTCATCCCTACCTCCATAAAAGACAGTCTCTTTCCAATGTAAACTAACTCATTAACTCTGTTATTAGGTTTTTATCTTCTCTTCTACCATAGCCTCAATACACACAACAGGATTATATTTCTAAAATCATTTTCATCACACTTACATTTAAAATCATTCAGTAACTATAACTAATAAAATGCTCAAATTCATTAGCTGGGCTAAAAAGACCCTCCCTCAGTATTTCAGCCTATTTTTCTAACTTCATTTTCTACTCTTTCCTTCATCAGCCTTATGCATGTTTTTCAATCTGCATGTGTTCTTGCCCCTGTGAGCTCCTGCCCCTCTTCAATCCTCACTCATATGTCATTAGTTTAGGGAAGACTTCTCTGCCATGGAATTGATTACAACTCCATAGTATGTACTTAAATTGAGTTACTTTCCATATTATATTTGGCTGATTTGTTTCAGTGTCTTTTTTCTTCCACTACTCAGCACAGTTTTCTGATAAATTCATATATATATATTTAATCTATTTTACAAAAAGTACCTTGGAGAAATTCAGATGTTTTTTGAATATTTTCATTTGAACGTCTTTTTATTTATCCTGTTTAAAACTGAAAACCCCGTTTCAGAAGGCTTTCACTTTTTGATAGGATAACTCTAAGTAACTTTTATAACAGCATGAACAACAGTCACACTTTAGTGTGTTACAAATGATAATTTTTCTATACTGGAAATTACTATTGGTTAAACTTATATGCCCATTCATTAACCACATATGAGTGTCCAATCTGTATCAAAAAAATACATTTCTCTAGAGCTGCCATCTTTATTTGTTTTATAGTTGGAGAGAACAGATTCAACTTGAGGACTGTATTATTTAAAACATTTGTAACCTACTGTCATGTTGGGAATTGCTGCTTTAGACTTTTCCTATCCTCTAATCAATCTTGCCCACCACTTACAAATGTGTCTACAAAAATATAAAAATGGTATAAATAAAAACATACACTTCTCTTCATTCTGTTATGTCCATTAAATATATTTAAACATCACACTACATTTAGAGAGAAATTTTATAGTCTTTCAACAGGAATCTCCTGCTCTAAGTTGTTTTGTTTCCTTCTTTCTTTGTACTTTTCTATCCTGGTACATTTGGTTACAGAGTTCAACTTATTTCAAATAAATTTCAGTCCTCCAACTTTAGCTATTTTAACCTTACAAATCCTTCAAGCTACAAGCTAAATCTCATATCTTTTATAATGATTTCCTTGATGAGTCCAACTAGCAGTGATATATTACTCTTCTGAACTTGCACTGACAATATTTTTGCACATTTCTTTGAAAATTGATTATACACAATTTAATACCATTTCCAATGCTGATTCCTTTAACTGCTTAATTTATTTTAGTATTTAGCCTACACATGAGTATACAATCTTTTCCTTAAGTGTATATAAACAACCTTATAGCTAGGACATTGAACTGTAATAGTCTTTTGTTACACCTAATATTGTACCTCATAAATAGTAGATCATAATCATATTTATTGATTTGAAATGAAAATACACAAATTGTTCCATTAATATGAATACTCAGCTTTCTTTTCTTAATATATTTATTTGACTTCAAATGGAGTATAATTAAGTTAAACAAAAATGTGAATAAGAAGCCAAATTACAAGGAATTACTTTGAGTATGGAATTTGTCTTCTATTCCAATTCATCAATAGTTAAAATTAAATTTACTCTACAAAACTTGTTACTAAAGAGGATTTTTTCTTTTGTGCCACAGAGTAATAAGTGCACTTTCTTTAGTTACATCGGCTTGTTGCCAGAGATATTAAATCTTTAATTAAAGAACTATACTGTATATTCAATATTTGAAATGGAAATAGCTATTTCCTAAAATTTCCTTACTTCATGCATAGTAAACGATTCTAATTTCTAAAAATCTAGTGATACATCATATATATGATATATATGTTATATATATGATACAGAATATAATAAAAAGGAGAAATATGTATTTACAGGCATAATATGCTGAGGTAACAAAAAATGTTAGAAGTTGCATTTGATTTATTTTTCACTATTTAAATAATGTCAGGCAAAGGAGAGCGAAAGCATTTAAATAGCAATTTTATATTATGTGACTATATTGCTGATTGTATAAAATGACTGAAACACATTTCATTAGCTATTCTGTTAAACTAGGATGGATGTTGGCACTGACTGGTCTATGTCTTTTCTGCAAAAAGAAGCTACAACCTTAGTGAGCAAACTCTGTATCTTTGCAGCATCAGCAAAACTGAGAAAAGTCCATGAATTCAAAAAAGAAAAAGAAAAAGAGAAAAAAATTTGCAAAAGACTAGGAGAAGAATCCAAAGGACTTGATAAAGAGAAGTTAGGTTATGGTGCTCATCAAATCTCATTTCTGTGGTGTGTGTGCCTTCATCTATTCTAGAGGAACAAAGAATCAAGCTTCCTGTGATAAAGAAGAATGAAGGAGAACAAGACAGTATCAGATGGCTTGAAATTTTATGAAATGTGAAGCTCTATTTCTATAGTTTCCGTCACATTTTAAATATATACATCTTATTTGAGTGGTAGAATTTCAACTTTTTCTTGTCGTAACACAGAGTGTGAAAATGCTAATAATGCCAAACCAAAGTTCATTTGACCAACCTTTCCGAGGGAAGGACTTGTTCTCTGACATTCTGTCAGTGAAGTTTGAGGCATCTTATTATCTGTCTTGGCTGATGAATAATGATATGGTTGACAGAAAATCCATACTGTGTTAGAACTAACTTGTTAAAGGCCACACAAATACTGAATTACTAATAAAATACAATAAAGTTCATCACTAGAAAGCTTGCCAGTTACTAACTACATTAAAAAGCAAAGCACCAGTTTTCTATTTAATTACTATTGAGTTCTTCTTAGCATCCTGTGGTGGTACTAAAATATATTATATTTATATCTAGGAACTAAACATTTTAACACATTTTTGCTCAACTGAAGAAGCATATTGATGAGAATTAACATTCACTATTGTTGTGGCATTACTGAATAAACAATTAAAAACTTTTTCATTAGAACAATGATCTGATAACATGATATTTAGTTTACTGTGTGGGGAAATAGACAGTGATTAAATAACTTTGATATTTAGTATTGTGGAGGCAAAGCTTAGAATGAAAATTGATGATATCTAAACTCCTAAAAACAATACTAAAATTTTTGACGAGACTGTGACTATATCTTCAAAATTATGGTTATTCTTAACTAGGTACATCTCCTAAATCTGTCTCGTTTTCCTCCTTTCAGTATCTTTGCATTATTTCATTCCCTTATCCTTTACTTGAGATCTGAGATTCACCATTCTGCTGTTGTATTCCATACATTATCCACCTGCCCTCCCACCTAGTGTCCTCAGTCATCTTCCTACTCAAACATCAGATCCTTCTATGTCATGTGAGGATTCAAATAAGCCCAGTCTAACTCTTCATAAAATCTCCTACGCCATGTAGGGGTAAAACTAACCAAACCCATTCAGCACGTAGTGATTATTGAAGAATGCACAGAAACAATTAAAAAGAAATGTGGTGAATACTGCAGCAGAGGTATGAGAATAAGGAATAGTGAAAAATAAACAAAAGACAAATAACCTCAACCAGAATGGGGTGGGTTTCTCGAGGAAAGATGGTGCTGTTTTCTCATCTTATATTTTATTTTATTTATTTGTTTGTTCTATTTAGTCTTTGAGCAGGAAAATTCACTTCATTCGCATAGCAAATAGTGACATTGGTAATATTTTGTTGTTACTGTTAGTTGATGATCTATTCTAGCACACAGGCAGGTTAGAGAGTATTTAGTGATATGCTTTCTCATTATTTTGGTTCCATGCCTGACATCCAACACCCTTCCAATTTTTGGTATCATTATTTATACATAAATGATTCAAGATTTGCTTCAATACTCAACTAAGGCAAATTTTCCTTAGGCTAACTTACTCATGTGCTGTAAATAATTACCCCTTTCTTGTGGCAAATTATTATTTTGTACACATCGTTACCTAGAGTTTGCTATACAATAGTGTGTGTGTGTGTGTGTGTGTGTGTGTGTGTGTGTGTAAATTAAAGGAAGATGGGGGTTAGTTTCTAGGATCTACTATCGACCTACCTTTCTGTGTCAGGGACCAGATCTTTCTGATAGTATATTTTTCTCATGGGCCTCAACTGCTTCTCTTCCTAGCACTGGGTTAGGCACTTATGTCCTTTCAAAAATGTTTGTTGAATAATTTCTCTACCATAATATTTTAAAAATAACAATAATGAAAGCTGTATATTACTGAAAGAATTACTGTGGAATTCTTGATGGTTAGAAAGAAGTATTGAAAACAAGAGTATTAATTGTAAATTTTTTGTATTTTGTATATTAAGAAACCATTAAGGTTGAATTATAAGGGTGTCAAATTGAAACATCCAAAAACTGTACAGATCTCATTTGTGAAATATTCAATTAATTACAGAGTGTAATTTGTGTTCAATAATATTTCCTTTTCAGAATCATGAAGTTCACACAGTAAAAAGCATAAAAGTATAAAGAATATATAAAGGGATAATCTACTGCTTTAAATTTGTTCTTGTCATTTTGACTTTAAATGTGTTTTTATCACAAATGATTGAGATACAGAGTTTCAAAGGTTAGGCTTTGAAACAATGAACTTGATGAATGAGGATAACAAACTTTGCTGCCATTGTTCCTGACTCCTTATAACCTAACCACTGCTTTGGGTAAGAATATAGTAAATTTTTCTACAAAAATTAGTTTGTTAAGGGAAATAAGCACAACAACAAAAAGTAAGCCAAAAATATGTCATAAAGATATTGAATATTTAATTTCAATATTCAATATCCTTATATATATGTATTCTAAATGTATTTTTATCTATTTATCAAGTGGATATTTAAAATATTAAATGATTTAATATCATGTACTCTGACTGAATATTAAAATAATTTACCAATCTCCAAATATGTAGAAATCATTTTGTTTCATATCTCAAAATTTTGAAAACAATGTATCGAAAAATAAAACTCTGTACCAACATGTATTAGTTCATCATCACATGAATGTTTCCAATTCTCTAGTTCCACAATACAATCAAGTGATTAGTTTAATATTTATTTTGATTAAAATACATTTTTCATTGGATAACAGACATTATTATATTTTAAAACTAGACTCAATGCAAAAAAGAAAACAGGAAAGGATTCAAAATTATCCGTAATTTTCAAGTGATCTGAGTTCGAGATTTTGTGCTTATAAAGTGTCAACAGTACTAACTTCTCTTCCCATTCATTTTACAAGTACCACTTTTTCATTTTCTGATTACAGTATTGGAGTATTACTCAGCCATAAAGAATGATAAACTAGCTAAATGGATGCATATCGAGGCCATACTCTTAAGTGAAATAAATAGGACACACATGTGTAAATATCAAGTTGTCTCTCTGGTATGAGAAACTGAAAGTGTAAATGAGGACCAACATGTGTAAAAGATAATGTGAAATAGAAAGCAAAGCTCAAAGGGGAAGGGGAAGGGCAGAGGGGGAAGAAAAGAAGGGAAAGAAAAAAATATAAGAAAAGAAGGAAAAAACAGAAACAAAGCTTTTGTAAATAGGGAGGGGTGGAGTGGTGGAAGGGAGGGAATGGGAATGGGAAAAGACAAGAACTATGACATATCATGTACAGGTACAAATTCTCAATGATGAATGTGATCATAATGTATACCTAAAATGTATCGATAAAGTTAATTTAAAAATATATAGAGATGGTTAAGACTTGAATTGTTTTACAGAGTACACCTCTCTGCAGTTTTTTTTGTTTTGCTTAAGATTCATATGACACCGATAAATTTCATATACAGAATTTTATCTTTTTAAAGTCAATCTAAAAGGGCTGGGGCTGTAGCTCAGTGGCACAGAGCCTGCCTCGCAAGTGCGAGGCCCTGAGTTTGATCCCTGGTACCAAAAAATTTTTAAAAAATAAACTCAAGATAAGAGAAGGTGTGTTCTTACTTGCCTATTTCAAATGCAAACACTTAAAAAAATAAAATAATAAGGATATCCATACATGTGGGCATTACAAACATAGAGAGAAAAATGAAGTCTTCTGGAAGGAGAGAGATGGGAAAAATGTGTCAGTATATATAAGAACGTGTATGCATATATACACACATACATTTGTGTGTGTGTGTGTGTTTATAAAGGAAAAGGCAAATGGTATTTTTGAAGAAAGAAAATGTTACAAGCATTCTAGTTAGAAAAGTAATCCAGAGACCCCCAAGGTAGCAGTTATGTAAAATGAAAAGAATCTGAAGAAAATATTATAAGCCTGTGATATTTATTTGAACCAAGATAAGACTAAAACTGCTATTTAAATACCATGAGATATTTTTATACCTAAATATTTCTAAGTAAATAAAATGTGTACAAAGAAAAACTGCTCATTTTCTATACAGTTAGGCTACACAAAGACCCAGTCAAAATAAACAGTGGCCTAGAAATTTTAAGGAAAACACAGAATTAAAAATAATTAAAATAGATAAAGAGACTGAGGATGTTGCTTTTTGACTTCCACTTGCTCCTGCAATAAAACAAAAATTATACATGCCTCTGTGTCTAAAATCAATTAGCAATTACCAGAGAAAACTAACACTTGTGACATGTTTGGGAAAGAACAAGGCAACTGGTCACATTTAAAGGCCTTCAAAGGAAATTTCCTACCTTAAAAAGGTTTTGTTACAGAGTGTGCATTGGCCTGAACCTCCTTTATTGTTCTTGCCCTTAAGTTCCCATCAGGGCTGATGATTAAAGTTCTACCCTCTAGCCAGGTCCCTACAATTATCCCATTGTGATGGCGCTCTACAGTGGCGCCCTGCTATGGTCAGACATCGAGTCATTAGAGAACTGCAAGGGATGATGAAGAAGGTTATTTTAATTCCTTTTTCAGCCCTTCTCAGGAGTGGCTCTTTAGTTCACAGAGCTGTGGGTACCTGCTTTCAAACTAACAAGCAATATTATAAATGGAGGCTGCATTACCGTGATTGCAGACAATCTAAAGCACTTGAGGGCCAAGAATTCTCAGACCTCAATATATGCTGTTTTGTATTTACCAGCTAAAAATATATAGACACTGCAAACAGGGAAGGGGATGGTGTGCAATGGCTAGGGTGGAAAGGCAGGAGGGAAACAATAAGAGAACCCAGGGCAAAAGTGAATAGAGAGCGGAATGCAGCCTTGGCCATTTTGTTGGTATATAAAATACTTTTACCCATTTTCTTGCTCTTCCACAGCATAGTGTTCCAGCTCTGTACCAGGAAGGGGCTGGACCGGGGGAGGAGGTAGAGGAACATTGGCCCAGGTTGATCCATTGTTTTTCTGCGGTTTGGAAGAATTTTTATTTTTTTTCTTTTTTCCACCTTTCCCACCTGAAAGCAATAATACATTTATTCAGAGGTGCTGAATATCAGAAGAAACAAAGAATATCAAAAGGAAAGATGCATTTATGTTTTCAAAACACCAGAAATCAGCATGTTAGAAATGGTAAAAGCTATAAACAATGAAATAATATAATCAGAAAAACACTTTTAGAAATCATTCGAAATGATATTGTTTCTATCCTGACGCATTAAATGCAGAGCTGAATAAACCAAAAACATGGATGTTGTATCAAAAGCACATTTATTGATTTATTCATGTCTGCTGCCTCCATATTTTCATTGTTAGATGAAATAATGATCCATAACAAATTCTTTTAAATGTCAGATTTTGGTGCATTTATAATACTCTTTTGCATAATCTCTCTCAGTGGAAAATAGTGTCTAAGGATACAGGCTAAAGTTTTCCATTATAATTTACTCAATTTAATTAATCCAGGAGAGTAACATTTTTCTCTCAAAAGTCACTGATAAAAATCAATCAACTACAATCTGGAGAATACCTGCAAATCTCTCAAAATGATGCGTTTCACAGACTTTTTGACTAATGAATGGTACAATTACTTTTGCATACAGTGAGAACATTTCCCAGCAGCTTTAAGCATAACATTTCATAAATTCCAAAAGGGGAGAAATTAATGGAAGCACAGTAATCAGTTACAGTACTATTTGTAATACAGATGAACTCATGCACAAATATGAGCAGAAAGTAAGTCAGCAGTGTATGAGCTTTATCTCGGATTACATGAAGCTTAATGAAATACAAAAATAAAATTTATCATCGCATCCTGCTGTAATTTTACACTTCCAAGATTAAATAAAGAAATTTCTTTATAAAATAATAGGTCAAGTTGGATAGAGAAATGAATACTTCTTGAGTAAAATGTCAAGAACATTTCAGGGGCTCCTAAGTATCTTCGATCCTTCCCATCACAGTCTGTTACTATAAGTGAAAAGGTAGTGTTGACCTGTTTGTTACACTTCTCCTGCCTGGAGCCAAAAACTGGAGCATAAAATGTTTGTAGCAGGGCCCTGAGGTCATATAGATGTAAAAGATGTCCTCCTATTGTCTTTCTTCACCGGTTATTAAATTGGTTTACATAATTTGATAATAATAAGCCACCAGGTGATAAAACTGTTAAACCAGACATACACACTACTGCCAGTTATTGAGTTGTGTGTTTTCCACATAGCATGCACACATTTTTAAATATCCCTGAAAACAAAGTGTTTTCCCTTTGCCTTTCACTTCTTATTTTTGATATGAAGGAGGGGAAGGACGTTATTCTTAGAGAAAAGCTTGATTTCTGGGTTTACTTCAGAAGTTACTTAATAGTTATTACTTAATTTCTACACATGTATCAGAGATATAAAGTTACTTCTCTGAGCTATCTTTAGAATTACTTAAGAAGAGAGAATGCATATAAAGTGCTCAGAACATATAGAAGACTCAATAAATGCCAGTCATTGTTGCTCTTCCTGATTTTTTTCTCTTCTAATAAATCCACCTTTCCAACTCTTTCTTTCTTTCTTTCTTTCTTTCTTTCTTTCTTTCTTTCTTTCTTTCTTTCTTTCTTTCTTTTCTTTCTTTCTTTCTTTCTTTCTTCCTTTCTCTTCCTGCCTTCCTTCTTTCCTTCTTTGAGTTTTGTAACAGGGTCTGGCTTTGTAGTTGAAGCTGACTTTGAACTCACTATGTAGTCTACGCTGGCCCCAAACTTGCAGCAATTCTCCTGCCTCAACATCCCAGGTATAGGGATTACAGGCACGCTCCACCATGCCAGCCATATTTTTCTTTTCTAAAAGTGTTCTTTACTTCAACTGCTCCAGGCTCAATGTGTATTGAGGAATAGTCTGAATGATAAACTTACTTAAATATAAGTCTGTAATTATTTGTAAAGTAAATGAAGCTTATTCCTTGATTTCCTTAATCCACCAAAATCATAAGCAAAGACCAAGGACCACATATCTTTTTTGTATTATTTGAACACTACATTTCAACAATTGAAAGAGAGTTGGGTCGAACTACTCATCTTGCTAGACTTCCCCCTTTGTGTACCTCCATTATGCTTTTTGTCTTTGTATGTATGCAATCCTTTCCACTTTCACAGCACGTTTAGAAGTGTTGTCAGATTCCCATCAGAAATCTGAGTGACAGAAAAAAAGGAAGCTCTTCCAAGTTATTTGCTAGGCGGAGATACTGAGAACCTTTCTGAGTGTTATTTGTCCATATGCACATAAAAGAGAAAATTCAGATTTACAGTACTAACCAGTGGATTCACTAGGAACTATTTCTAGAGTTCTGAATATAACCTTTGAAGTTCTTGCTTAAATTCAAGAAATGTATTTTTTACCTACTCTTCCAAAAAATAGACTTAAAATTGTTAATCTCTAAGGGCTTTCCATTTTCCTCTCTTATGGGGAAATATGTTATCTTATTTTGAAAAATCTAGGAAGGACTATAATGAGCGTTGCTGTTTTCTCTTTGCAGTGATCTAAGTAGTAGGCTATCGGCATGGTGGTGAGCATATGGAATAATCAAGAAGAGTTATGTATTTCTTTCTGAAATCTGGATCTTTTGTAAAGTGGACACAGTTTGCTGTTACTTGCAACCAAAGAATCTACAATCATGTTAAGGTGAGAACTGCCTGTATCATGTTTCAAGGGAACATATTTGATGCCTCACATACATATTTGACTCCTATGTCTTACACCTGAAATGTAAATATTTGGATTTTTTATGCCTAATAAATGATGTAAAGAAAATTGTGAGATAAACTCATTTAAAAATTTAATGTCTAGTTAATTTTTAAAGAATTGGTGTATTGAAAAATTTACTGTTACCAATGTTGTTGTATACATATTATATTTATGCATATATTTATCATTTCAGATACTATTTTTCAACATCAGAGATTTTTAATTTTTAATTTTTTTTTTTTTGGTACCGAGAATCAAACTCGGCACCTTGTGCCTACAAGGCAGGCACTGGAACCACTAAGCTAAATCCCCGGCCCAACATCAGAGATTTTTTTTTTTTGGTACCGGGGATCGAACTCGGGTCCTTGTGCTTGCGCAGCACGCAGCGAAACCACTGAGCTAAATCCCCACCCCAACATCAGAGATTTTTAATGCTTTGATTTTTTAACAGAAGTACTCAGAAACTATATAATGAATATAATTATAACAGCATTTCAAAGAGGGTAAGAAGTTCACTCAAATAATTGAGAAATGTCCTATACACTATCACTGTGATTATTTTAAATTGTTTGGATCACAGTACGCAGATTGAGACAATTCCTTCCCATGTAATGATTAGTTAGCCACAGGGTAGCTTGATCTTAAATTTGAAGCTTAGGAAACATACCTACAAATATAAAAATTAATTGAAATTATAGTATTAAACTTAATTGCACTAACCTAAAAAAGGAATAATTACTCCAGTCTTACCTATTGAAAAATGCTATCATCAATTCAAGTAATTTTGCATTCTAATGTAGATGTAGTTAATAGAATTCTTAGATATAATACATATATAAATATATGTGTCATTCAAGAGATTAATGGATACAAAAAACTTGCAAGCACTATTGTGAATTGTGTTCTGCTTACAATTACTCAAAAGATAACTTAAAATTCAGTGGTAATCAATCTAAATGGAATACTTAGAAAGTTTCACAGGTCTTGTGGAATCCAAGGCTTGCAGTTATATAGATTTATTTTAATACACTGCTTGATCTTTATGTATCTTTACTAAAATAAAAAATGAAGCTTCAGAAAAATTACTTTTTAATTATTCAGAAAAATTGTGGGGCTAATTATAAATAAATGACAGCATAAATGACAGATAAGGTCATTCAAAAAGTTCCCCTATATCATTAAATCAGTTTAAATTCATAACAGATGTTTAAAATTTTCTGAATTCTATAATGTATCTAATCCTACCAATAGGCAAGAAGAGCAAATGACTCATTTTGGAACGAAGAGAAAGCATTAACATTTTCAGTCGGAGATGGTTCTATCTCCTGAGGAAAAGTAATTTAGTAAATGTATCCCTAATGATGTAGAAAAGTTAACTCTTTATGGCTTTGATGCTTAGTAGCCTGAGACATGTCACAGAACATGGGAATCCTTTTCCATTAACATAATTTTTAAAAAGAAGCAAAAACTCCAAGCAAACAAATAGCATTTATTTAATCTGACCATATTAATCAGTGGTGTCATGGAATCAATTGGAAATACACAGATAGTCAATCATGCCATGTAAATATTATGTTCAGATAATAAAGTGTGTCTATAACTGATATTAATTATGATAGGAAAATATTTCTGTCCAAAATTTTTTCCCCTTATGTGCTATACAATACCTATAGTATATATTGTTGGTTTAGCTGTTAACTGTTAAATCCATTTTAAAATTTACAGAATAAAATAATTGTCCATATCAAAGATTATATAGGTGCTTTCTTAAAATTAAATATTAATAATAACCTCTCGCACTGGCATTCATTTAGCACAGTACAATTTAATTCACTAGATAATAAATTTTATATATTTTGTAAAGTTTTTCCAAAAATAGGAAGTCATATCACTGGAGACTCAATATGACTTCAAAATCATTTTTATTTTAGTTCCAGTTATCTTTTGGTATCAATGACATGAAATTGACTTTCACGTATGATCTTTTTATTATAAAGGTCTCTTGACTAAGAAATAGCAAAATCATCTGCTTTTTAATAAACAGTATTTAGCGAAATGGTGTTACTCTTCTTCAAATACATGATTATACAGGTAATATGTAAAGGGTGAGTGTGATTTTTATCCCCCCCCCCAAAAAAACAGGATTTCATTAGAATCAAATGTTATTTTCACTTGAAAGATAAATGCTTGATTGTGGGCTGTGATTCAGTATTTCTTCATTGGTTGCTAGGAACACAGGTCATATGCTGGTGACAAACAAATATTTCTCCTTACTGTGATAAGACCAACCTGATAGACTGCCACTCCTTTCTGAGCTGTTGTGAGAGCTGGTGGTGCTGAAATCCTGTGACTGGTTGTGTGGCATTCTATTAGACAATCCCTCAGCCAATCGGTAGTCAGGGATGTAAAGTAAGGCTAAGGGTTAAAGGGCAGAGGTCATAGTGGCATCATGTGATTAGTTCACAGCACAAGCCCATGCAGAACATGCAGTTAGCAACTCAGAAGCAGATGTTGTGGGACAGTGAAGAATGTTTTATTTATCCTGTCCTAATGGAAGCAGAGATGGATTGCTGACCACTATACTGAAAAAGAGCTAGAAAGATGGAACCGATTGGTGTTGGTGTGTAGTGGTGGTGGCAGAGGCAGTGGTGGTGGTGATAGGGATTGTTCAAGATACTGAATACATGCTGGTAAATATTTTTAGTTTAGGAAGTAAACCTGGTAATGAATCACTAAATTGAACAACAAATACTAATTTCTATCTCATGCATAAATGATATGAAATTAACTTCTCAAGACACAAGAATCAGACTTACCATTGTTACCTTTGTTCTGATCAGGTAGAGAATAACCAAATCCCATCAGATCTGTTTTTTGCTGAACCGAGCTTTTCCATTGTGGATCAGGCAGCTCAACAGCCAATTCATGGATGCTATTGGAATGCAAGATCTGTGTCGTGGCATATGGGGTAGCCTGTGTTATTTGGCTGGAACTGTTGTAAGTGGTTTTGGTAGTGAAGTCAATGCTACTATAAATGGCTCCATCTGAGAGCATCGTTGCTGTTTTATCCCCTTGGCCAGGAACTGGTGGCAGCACATCTGTGGTGAACATAGGGAAATGAAACAATTTAATGATGCACAGGAAGCGCAAAACTATCAGGATTGAAGATGAAAAATAAATGTGTCAGGCCACACGTTTTCATTTCAGCTGAAATGGGCTTCATGAGCCAATGAAGGGTAGATGATATACAACCATCGCTAAGCTATCAACTTCAGCAATAGGCAAGCCTACTGCTTGTCCTTCACATCTCACTGATCAACACATCCCTTACCCTGTTTTCTTCAACTGTGAATGAGAAGTATGGGATATTTTACTACTGAAAAATGCTTTCAGTGGTTCACACTGTTTTAAAAGCAAAGAAAGTATTAATGCTTTACAGAAGCATGTGAAGAAGGTAAGAGGGAGCCTAAAAGTCATAAATGAAAATATCTATTTCTACTTTACCCTAAGGGATAGAGAGCACAACGTGAAATTTTAAAAAATTGTAGTTCCTTGACTATGACATACAATTTCCTGAGTTTTTAACTTGACATTTATCTGATTTAATTTCATAGCACCAGAAATGGAGAATAAGTGATGGGAGAAGGTGTGATTTTTACTTGGATAACAAAGAAAATTTTCCATGAATAAGTCATTTTCACAATACAGCAGGATTTAACTATAGAACAAAGCAATCTCAGTGATCAGGGAGTTTAATTTATGTTATCAGGTCTTAGAAGTGGAGAATTATAATTTCACGTGGTAAAACAGCAAGAGTAAAATTCAGCTTCAGAAACAACACTGAATATCAATCAGTCCATTTATCATTTTGGTATGCTGAGTTATCTTTACATGATGCTTTATAATTCAGATCTGCCACTTCTCTCCTGAGTACTTATTTTCCATTTTGGGAAGGGTGATATTAAATGAATCTAAAAGAGAAATCATTAACACTAGTTTTAATCATGTAGCATTAAAATAAATCTAATTATGGTAACTTCCTTAATAATATATGCTCTAAAAAGTCACTTCACAGGACTGAAGGCCATAAAATCACTTGCTGTCTTTATTACAGGAAATTTTCAACTGTTTTGCAACTTTCAGCTTCAGTGACATCCAATCCCACTTGAAATAAGGATTTTTACAGGACCATTAGTTTTGCTTTTTCATTTTACAAAGATAAAAACTGTCTTCTTTAGGAACAGTAATAAGAAATTTATAATATATTTCATACACTCTAACTTTGGTCTCCCTAAAGGTTTTGAGGTTTGCCAACTAATTTTACAAGAAAGTGGATATATATACTTTATTGAAGCAAAGATTTTCAATGCTTATCAGTGAGGTAAACATATTGAAATTAGTAACATTTCAGTAGGCTGTATAAACAAGTGTTATGGTTTACATTTAGATGTCCCTCTAAAGCCTCATGTGGTCACAGGTTTGGTTTTCGGAGTGACTGGATTACGGATGTATCATCTCAGACTGATTAGTTCATTGATTGGATTAGTATAGTTCTGGGTGTGAATGATGGATTTTGAAAATGGAGGACCCATCCTGGGGTGTGGGTGGCACCAACCAGTAGTCTGGTAGCCTGGATGGGATAAAAAGGGAAAGAAGGAAGTCTCGCTGACTTCTGCTTGCCTTGCCATGAGCTCTTTCTCCTTTTCCATGCCACCAGACCTTGAAGCAGCTGACTTTGGACTGAAACCTCCACTAACTGTGAACCAAATAAATCTTTCTTTCTTGTGGGTGTCAGGTATTTTGTCCCAGAAATAAGAAAGTAACTAAGACATCAAGTAAAATTGTTTTCATATTTCAGAATCACACAAGTACTTTCTTATTCTTCTTGTTTTTAGCTATATGCTAATTGGAAAATTGATGTTGAACACATGTATTTCATTTTTATTCTCAAAAACATATTTTAATAATATATTAAAGCTGATGAAAATAGATGCTTCTCTCTGTAAGTTTTCAGACTTTTGTTTCTGTCCCCTCTACATTTCTGTTTGATGACTATTCATTGAATAGAATGTTTCTCCAACATGGGCTTCAGTTTCACATAATGTGAACTTTCAGTGCTCCGAAGCTTTAGATTAGATTGTATGCCAATTCAGCTCCAAGCCGTTGGCATTATTTAGTGCTAAAATGATTCAAAAAGTGAAAAATAAAAGACTAGTCTAAGAATCCAATCCTACATAATATTACTCTACAACAACTAAAGCCATGGTTCTGAAAATCTCTCTCTTTCTCTCTCTCTCTTTCTCTCTCTCTCCCTCTCTCCCTCCCTCTCACTGTCACCCTTTCTGTCAGTCTGTCTGTCTCTTTCTGTATCTTCCTGTCTGTCCCTCTGTCCCTCTCTCTGCCCTAGAAGAAATTATATTCAACCTTACAGTTTAGGTACTGCTATATTGATTTGGGGGCTTTCTTCAAATACTATTTGATCATGTCCACATTTTCAAAAATAAATTTAATTATATCCCAACATTTAAATACTAGATTATACATGAATGTCTGTATATCAAGGAAAGTCCTATAAGATCAAAAGGTTTGGAACTCCATGCCAATGTTCCTCTCAAGAAGCTGGACCTGAGTACATGCTTGCCCTTCTTATAGTCCCCATGAACCCAACCCTAATGCTTCAGGTTGTGTGAATTGTGCTTGTTACATTTGTGTTTGAGAGCCTTCAGTGGCAGAAATACTGCATTTTGAATTACTGATGCAAATTTTGAGCATGTTATTTCTATTAGTACTCATGGATTTGTTCATATATTGCCTGGCATGACATTCCTATGAAAAACTCTTCTTCATTGGATCCTAAGTTACTGGAGGATAAGTGCCAATGTGATAGATGTCTTTATTTCCATAATTCCTCACTCATCCAGTGTTTTGAGGAGAGTAAACATACATTGAAATTGTTAAACGAATTTTTTTTATAGTTTGTATTGACAAAAAATAGAATTATTTGACAATTAAATTATTCTTAATATATTTTTTCACTACATTCAAATATGTATTGGTGTTTCATTGTTAATTGGAAAATCTCACTATCTTTAATTACTCTTCTATATGAATATGGTTACAGAGTCATACACAGCAATCCAACTTCAGAGTCCAGACAGTATGGATTAAAAGAACCAATGCCTTAAAATCCATCAGACTTGCACACTCTGATCATATCTCAAGTGATTCATCTGGATAAACCTATTTACTTCACATTTAAATGCAAATATGGTTATTTACAACTATATAAAGAACATGAATTTAAAAGTACAAAAAAATCCTACAGTATTTATAGATACAGTAAATGCTTACAATGACTATCACACTGAGGAGAGATACAGTAAACCATGAAAGAACTGTCTTGGCCTTAAATAATAGTGAGAGTCACAAATGGGTTCATATTAAGTTAAAAATCTTCTGCACATCAAAGGAAACAATTAATAGAATGAAGAGACAGCATAGGAAACAGTTTTCCCAGCAATTCCTCAGACTGATATCTAGAATATAAAAGAAATCAAAAAATTAGAACCCTGAAATAAAAGATCCAATCAAAAATGGGCAGGTGAAATGAGTAGATACTTCTCAGAAGAAGTATAGATGGCTAATAAATTCATGAAAAAATGTTCAACATTATTGAGATGTCATCTTACTCTAGAATGGCAATCATCAAGAAATCAAATAATTAACAAATTCTGTGGGGAAAAGGAATCCTCTAAAGTACTCATTGGAATATAAACTAGTACAACCACCATAGTTGTACTCCATCCAAGAATGGGAGTAGAAATGACAAAAAAAAATTAGGATGTGTTATATACACATACAAACTCCCCATGATAAATGTACTGCAAAGAATTGTGTTGGCCTTGTTCATCTATAAAATATCTCATTTCATGAATAAGAGGCAGAAATGGCAGAAAACCTTCCAAATCTGCACAAGTACTCTTTGCTTAAATTAGGCCAACATATCTCAGATGTTAATGTAGCCAGGTAGAATTTGAAACATGAAATATTTTCTTCATCTTTAGGCATATATTACTTGATATAAAGATAGAATGTTTTACAATACAAAAATCAATGAAGCCAAGAGTTGATTATTCAAAAGAATAAACAAAATTGACAAACCCTTAGCCAACCTTATCAGAAAAAGGAAAGAAAAGACCCAAATCCATGCAAGTAGGAATGAAAAGGATGAAATTACAACAGACCGAGGAGAAATCCAGAGGATCATCAATATCTACTTCAAGAACCTATATGCCAATAAGATGGAAAACACAGAAGAAATGGACAGATTCCTAGATACATATGAATTACCAAAGTTGAATGA